GATTGATTTTGTAGATTTTGCGCAACGCAATAACAAACATCGATTTTGGATTTCATTTTTATAGATATAGAGGAAAGGAAGGAAGGATATAAAATATATTTTTCGAACAAACATAGCCACTCTCTCTACTGAATAGATTTTTAAAAAGATATATATAAATAAAAATATCTAGAGATATACTACATGATCTTAGTCAAAAGGCCAAGAAACGATATTTTATATATAGAGATATCCTGGTTTCGTGTGTTTTCTGCTCGAGTGAATGTTTCGCTGGTAGAATTTTGTTCCTGCCTACAAAAAATTATTATCTGGCACCCCCGTGGACTGCTTTAGTGAATATTTTGTTTATGTCAATTAAGCATGATACAGCAATATTGTCATTATCATTTCTGACTAAAAAAATATTGTTGCTCAGTACTTCGTTAATTATAATTTTTCTTGGTTAAAGTGCGACAAAAAACTCTTCCAGGTTTAACTCTCTGTCCTGTTCAAATTTCAGCGAGATTAGTTACATATTGAGGGCATGCATAGCCGACAAACATACACAAAAACATGTGTATATATATGTTCCCGGCTTCGCCCGATTTTCACTCGAGTAAAAGTTTGCCTAACAAACATTTGTTAAAACGATTCTAGCAAACATCCAATCCCTACTGAATCTACACTTGTCTATACATATATTCAAAAATATGGTTGTACCATATAGATATATATGAGCAGTTATATATTATGAAGCAGATAAATATAAATCCTACCTAAACAAATGACGGCAAAATAAAAATTTGAGCCTACCCTTAAAAAAAAGCAGTTACTGAAAATGCATAGCTGCTGCTTACAATATAAATGCTATTAGAGCATAAACATATTACATGGAACAAACATATAGTAAATATATGTAGCAAGTTATATAAAAAAAAACATACTTTTTTTCAATAAATATACTTACTCTAAATATAAGAAAGAAAAAAAAATTGAATACTGTTCTAAATCTCAATTTGTCAGAAAATATGAATATTCCTTATGAGAATCAAATAGTAAACCTTTGCTTAAAAATGTAGATCGTTATATTTACACTAATTAAAATTAAACGAAGCAAAAAATATGAATAAGCTACGAAATAAATAATATTTCCAATTAATTTAATTTGAAAAACATTACTAAATAACTAAATAAAATCTTACCTTCTAAAAAGAAAAAAAAAAGGTTATTCAAAATTGAATTTTTGCACTTTTAGCCTAAATGCTAAACCAAAACCTAAGCTACCTTACGTGCGAAATTTCACAATACAGTTTTAATTAACCCAGGTTCCGGAGGCGTATAAATTTGATAACGATCGATTAATTTTATTTCCAAAAAGGGTTTATATATATATATATATATAATCTTACATTTTAAAAATATTCATCGTGTAAACAAAATACGTGTAAAATTATTAACCGATCAAATTCATTTATCGTCGCGACCAGTGCTGCGCCCAAGCGGTAATGGCTGGAACTAAAGCTTTTTGGTTTTACATTTAAAACAAAAAGCACATTAACCTTTTTATCTATAAGTTTCATTATCACTAAGTTTATTATCTTAAAGATTATTTATCAAAAGTAAGATTATATCAGGATGACACGGCAATTTATTTGAGACAAGAATAAAGATACAATTCCAAGGCAAAGATACTATTCCTTTAGCTTCCAATTACCGAGGGAACCAATTAATATTGATTTTATTCAACTTATCGAGTATTTTTCAAGGGACCGGGAAAAAATGTTCACTAGATAAAACGATGATTTTGTAATGTAGATGTTAAAACTATTTTACCGATCCTTTACTTTTATACATAGAATGAAGGACTTAGGTGAAGGGAGACATCTACATGGTCGGGGAAAGCCCCAGCTGAGACGAGTGGGCAAAGGTCGGTCGAGGCCCGGGGAGGCAAAGTCAAGTGGACGTCTGGAATTTGGTTTTTTGTTCTGCAAGCCCCGGGACGGGGGCCATGTGGCGTCATCTTTTTTTCTTAGTTAGCAGCAGCGGCCCAGGCGGAGCAGACGCGCCTGAGAAGTATCCTACAAGCAGCGTCTTGTGGACGGAAAGACGTCTGAGAAATATCCTACAAGCAGCGTCTTGTGGACGGAAAGACGTCTGAGAAGTATCCTACAAGCAGCGTCTTGTGGACGGAAAGACGTCTAGAAATATCCCACAAGCAGAGTCTCGTGGACGGAAAGGACGTCTTGGAGTATCCCTCAAGCGGCAACTTGAGGACGGAAAGGACGCCTTGGACATCGCACGAGCCGCGACAAGAGGAAGCCAAGCGTGCGACGGTGCTGCCACCCGAGGTACTGTGTGAACACAAAGCTCGACACCCCAATGCCATTTATTTTTATCTCCCTTCCCTAAGATTAGTTAATTTTACTTCTTTTGCTTAACCTTGTTTCTTGTTTTTTATGCATAATCCTTTATATATAAGTATAATTTTGCTTAACCTTGTTTCTTGTTTTTCATGCATAATTCTTTATATATATAAGTATAATAGTTTTTAGCCATTTTTAATTTTTAAATAAAACCCTTTATTTATACTGTGTAAGTGTGCATTTATTTCCCCCATTGTTTTTCCTTTCAATCGATCACCCTTTATTTTTTTTTAAACGAACACGAACAGTAGAAATTTAGGAAAGACAAAATTCAGGATGACACGGCAATTTATTTGAGACAAGAATAATGATACAATTCCAAGGCAAAGATACTATTCCTTTAACTTCCAATTACCGAGGAAACCAATTAATATTGATTTTATTCAACTTATCGAGTATTTTTCAAGGGACCGGGAAAAAATGTTCACTAGCTAAAACGATGATTTTGTAATGTAGAAAATTAGGAAAGACAAAATTCAGGATGACACGGCACACAGGGACCGGGAAAAAATGTTCACTTTATCGAGAGATTCAAATTTACGAGTTTCAAATTATCAAAATATATCTATTGTTTTTTTTAAATAAATATATAGAGAATTGTTTTAACAAATGTTCGTTAGACAAACCTTTACTCGGGTAAAACCCGGGCGAAGCCGTGTACATCAGCTAGTTAATATATACAGTTATCAGCGTCATGCACAATTCTTTCTTAATTCTGTCACCGTTTGCTTTTGGTTCAGTGGTAGAATGCTCGCCTGCCACGCGGGCGCCCCGGGTTCGATTCCCGGCCGATGCATTTTATTTTCACAATTTTTGAAACTCATTTATATTATTAAAATATATGTGCTTTTCCTGTCTATGTACAGATTTATGGTCTATGTACACAAGTATACAAGTATGTCTACAAGTTATTTGCAAATTGCGTGGCAAATTTGCCCTTTCACTCGCAAGCAGCGCCTCTAGCGGTGAAGATGGGAGGTAATATCAGCTGATCTAATGGACATGTAAAACGTGTTTTAACAGGACATAGAGAAAAATCTGGAAAATATATTTTTCGGATTTTTAGTCAAGAAAAATAAATTGACAGGTTTTGGGAGAAAAGTAGTTGTTTTTTATTAAGAAAATGATGATGACAATATTGCTGTATCATATTTGATTATCAGATACAAAATTATATCCGGAAAAATTCCAAAAAGCAGAGACCACGGGTGAGGCCAGTTCATTTTTAGTATGCAGGAACAAAATTCTAACAGAAAAACATTCATTCGAGCAGAAGATACAAAGCCAGATCATTTAAATATATAGTCACGACCGTCTTTCCTCATCGGCCTCTGTCACGGATGCGCGCGCATCTACAAAAAAAAACTCCCTACAGTCCTCCGCTCTGCCAACTGAGCTATCGAAGGATACAAACCGATGAATAAGTTTACCTTATAAAGTCAACTAATCCTATTTCTACACAAAATGTACTCATACCTAACCAATAAATTAAGATTTTGAACAAATACTTATATCATTTCTCACATATTAATATAGATATATTTATATTTTGAAAATAGAACAATCCAAATTTAAAATCATTATATAAAAAAAAGGCAAATATTGGCAAATACATCTCTTATTCAATTCAATATATATGCCTTTTTATTATTAACTAGACGAATGGCCCGGGCAACGCCCGGGTTTTACCCGAGTGCGTATATATTTTAAAAACGTTTTAATTCAAATACTATTCGTTACAATTATAAATTGGCGCCATGGATGTCACTCTTGTGAAACGTCGCGTTCCAAACTGTGTGTTTTTAAAACGTTTTAATTAAAATACTATTCGTTACAATTATAAATTGGCGCCGTGGATGTCTCTCTTGTGAAACGTCCCGCCCCAAACTGTGTGTGTCTTGAAAATATAAAAATAAAAATGTGAATTTTCATAAAGATTATATCATGTCGATTTTTTTTTTTGCATTTCACCTACTAAATCGATAGAGATAATTACATTTGCAACATGAACTTAGGTATATTGACTAAATAGAAAACTGCATAGAAATAAAGATCATTTTTTAAAGGCACCATATCGTTTTTTTTCAATAAAATCGAAACAAAAATTAACGATAAATAACGATAATTGCCTCAAAAAGAAATTGCCTTAAAAAAAGAAACATTCGCGGTGATTTTGTCTTGCATTCGTTTATACAATTATTATATACGAATGACCCGGGCGCTCGCGCAACGCCCGGGTTTTACCCGATTAAATGCTTTTGTTCAAATACTATTCGTTACAATTATAAATTGGCGCCGTGGATGTCATTCTTGTATAATATATAAATGCGTTTTAAAAATTGTAAAAAAAAAAAAAAAATGCATCGGCCGGGAATCGAACCCGGGCCGCCCGCGTGGCAGGCGAGCATTCTACCACTGAACCACCGATGGTTATGAAAAATCCCATCCGTGAGCTTCAGACAGACAGAATAAGGCAAATATATAAGTAGATATATATAGTCACGACCGTCTTTCCTCATCGGCCGCCTCTGTCACGGATGCGCGCACACAGGGAGGTCACGTGCTCGCCGGCAGCCAATAAAAATAATAAAAAAAAAACTCCCTCGAGCGGATTTGAACCAGCGACCTAAGGATCACCGTTGTAACATCTACAGTCCTCCGCTCTGCCAACTGAGCTACCAGGAGATACAAACTGTATAAATAAGTTTACCTTATAAAGTCAACTAATCCTATTTCTACACAAAATGTACTCATACATATATTATACTAGCCGAATGACCCGGGCAACGCCCGGGGTTTACCCGATTAAATGCTTTTATTCAAATACTATTCGTTACAATTATAAATTGGCGTCGTGGATGTCATTCTTGTATAATATATAAATGAGTTTTAAAAATTGAAAAAAAAAAAAAATGCATCGGCCGGGAATCGAACCCGGGGCGCCCGCGTGGCAGGCGAGCATTCTACCACTGAACCAAAAGCAAACGGTGACAGAATTAAGAACGCATGACGATGATAACTGTATATTATCCGTGACAGAGGCCACGACAGACGGTCGTGACTATATATATTAATTATATTATATTATTATTATTATATATATATAGTCACGACCGTCTTTCCTCATCGGCCGCCTCTGTCACGGATGCGCGCGCACAGGTAGGTCACGTGTTCGCCGGCAGCCAACGGGCGCGCGCCGCCGGCAGGGGGGGGGGGGGGGGGCATTACGTCACTCAAGGTCACCTACGCGCCAACGATGACACGTGATCGTAGCCGTCCAATAGGAGGGCGCCGGCCATCCGTGACAGAGGCGGCCTATGACTGATTGATTAGGATTAGGATATGCATTTATTTAAGGCGCCAATTTATAATTGTAACAAATAGTATTTGAATAAAAACATTCAATCGGGTAAAACCCGGGCATTGCCCCTTCTTAATCAATTCTGTCACCGTTTGCTTTTGTGAATGGAATAAATACCCAAATATGGCCATTTCTCATAACCATCGGTGGTTCAGTGGTAGAATGCTCGCCTGCCACGCGGGTGGTTCGGTTTCGATTCCCGGCCGATGCATTTTTTTTTTACAATTTTTAAAACTCATTTATATATTATACAAGAATGACATCCACGGCGCCAATTTATAATTGTAACGAATAGTATTTGAATAAAAGCATTTAATCGGGTAAACCCCGGGCGTTGCCCGGGTCATTCGGCTAGTATATTTATATATTTCAGTATAATATGAAAAGAAGTTGTTCCTTACACATATAATAAATTTGGTTTAAAATCTGCTACAAGTAGATAGCTTTATTTTTTTTTCCTGAACATGTTTTAAAGAGGTTATTTTTCGGTATTGAAAATATTTTTTATCGCTACTTTTCATAAACATTTTCAATTATAAACTAATTTAATTGGGCGCGCTTTGCTTATTATTTTTTGAAAATTATATTTGTTGCTGACTGCGGTGACAAATATTATAATAGATAAACATTTGAGAGAGTAGAGTTTAAATTATTTGAAATCTCGATTGCAAATGGTGCAATAATAATTTGTGTATATGCATATTAGAAGTTATTTACTTTTGTTAATTCTGCGCTCCAATAACCTGAGTTATATCTATTTTATTTTAATAATTATCTATTTTGAAATTTAAATATATTCATTTTTTTTGTCATTGAATTAAATAAATCAATCTTTTTTATGTTAATCATTTTTTTTATCCCTCTCCCACTTTAATATATTTTTTTTCATCCATCGATTTACATATTGATGCGTTGAAAATGAAACGCCGCTTCTCAACTTTAAAAGATCCATTATTGGAAGAAAATAATTTTCATTTTACTGGATTTGGTAGTTCAGAATTGAAGAAAACTAAAATTGTTACTTCTATCGAAGAATTCTTTGAAGTTTCAAGCGATTTTCAAGAAGATATAGAAATAATGAAAACTCCCAATAAAAACAATCAACAAAACATGAATGTAAACTTGAAGAAGAATCGGGCTTCAATGGTTAAAAAAAGAAAATCTAAGCTCAACACAGAAAATGTCGAATTCAAGCCAAAGTCAAGAGCCAATAAAAAAATTAGAGAATCTTCAAATAGCGAAGTTTTGAGCTCCTCTGATAGAGAGAGCGAAAGTAGAGAAGGCACAAAAATTCTCAAAGCTCAATATGAGGAAATCCTGGTTTATATTGAACCCAATGGTGCGTCAAAGAAAAAACGACGCAAAGTTCATATAATTCAAACAAGTCAACAAACCTCTACAGGAGATGAGTTACTGGTAATAAGTTCTGACTGTATCTTGCAGTTTTGGCAAATTGCAGAACGACAGGAGAACGATTTAATCTTACTTCGATCCCAAGAAACAAGTAACACTCAGAATATTTTGGAAAATTCCATTTTCAGAATGACAACTGTCTGCAAACAAAAACTGAGAGAAGTTGCTAAAAATAAGAAGGCAATAACTTTGGAGTTGTTAAAAGAGTATTTACCAGAAGCATTTTATTTGTTGGAGATCAGTCAAAACGATCAGGAAACACTTCCTCGCAAGATCGCCACATCAGTGAAGCTGGAAGATTCGAGCCATTCGAACATCCAGAGGCAAGAAGATTTGAGCCATTCGAACATCAAGAGGCAAGAAGATTTGAGTCATTCGAACATCCAGAGGCAAGAAGATTTGAGCCATTCGAACATCCAGAGGCAAGAAGATTTGAGTCATTCGAACATCCAGAGGCAAGAAGATTTGAGCCATTCGAACATCCAGAGGCAAGAAGATTTGAACCATTCAAACATCCAGAGGCAAGAAGATTTGAGCCATTCGAACATCCTGAGGCAAGAAGATTTGAGCCATTCGAACATCCAGAGGCAAGAAGATTTGAGCCATTCGAACATCCAGAGGCAAGAAGATTTGAGCCATTTAACCATACAAAAGCAGAAAGAAATATTTTCATTCGTGACGTCAGTTGAGCTTAGAGAGTCAATCCAGCCTGAAGGAGCTGATACTTCGCAGCCAACATCTCCTTTGTCGAACGACCTGCCGAAGACCTGTCTCTTTCCTTCAATTCAATCCACCTCCACTGACTTGCACCAGGAAAAAATTCGCTGTTACTGCGGCTCGAAAGACACATCCGGGGTAAACATAAAATGTAATGTATGTACATACTGGGTTCATATGAGCTGCCTCGACTTGAATTGGAATGAAAACTATGAGGATTACAGGTGCTTCATGTGTGCCGATCTACCGCTTATACGGCAGGAGGAACATTTAAATTCTATTAAAAAATCCCCAGTCCAAGAAGAAGGTTCCGATTCAAACACAACTCTTAGTTCCCAGAAGTCCAAAAATTCAGGCGAAATGACTTTGCCGCAGGCAATTTCTCAAGCTAATAATTCCACTACTTCAGCTGATTCACGCCTCTTGGATATGAAATTAGATTTCGATATTTCGTTAAATGTTAGCGAAGAAACCATTTTATCTAATAAACATATTAACCCCAGTAAAAACCTTGCTTCGGCAGAGGAAACTTCGACAATGGATTCAGTTGCTTGCGCGAAAAGTAATACAAAAGAAATTCCGACGCTAAAATGCTTAGCAGCCTCGGTACTAAGACACCCTACTTCGGACATCCCTCTGACGTTGTTTCCAACTCCCAGCTCAGAATCTACCAAATTAACCCCCTCCCCATACTTACAGACAACTCCACCCAAGGAGCTGCAGTCTAATGATATAAAGAAGCTTTGTTCATTACAAGGAATCCAGAATTCTATCGAAATATTGACTTCAGCGCAATTATATCCTAATTCACTGAACTCTGCTGGAGAATCTCCTGCCATGAATACGGCCATCCATTTCCACAGGGAATTTGATTCTTCCAGCCCACATCTCAGTCCTCCGAGTTATGATGAGACATCGCCCTCCTTGCTTACACCTCACAGCCAACAACCTCTTTCGATGACCAATGGGGTGTCAAAATTGCAAAGCGATGTTGAAATGCTCATTACATCATCCAATGGGAAGCCTAGTGATAATTCTCTTTTAAATTTAATTCGTAGCCCAGAACATTACGGTGCCCCGTATCCTTCTTCGGATCTAGTTACCAATTCGGAGCAACTTTCAGTTACCTCGGACCTATCATCCGAAATGCAGGCCAAATTTGAAGGTGTTTACCTTTTAGATGGGATAAAAACGGCCAATAACAATCATATTACAATTTCGGATGAAAACATTGACGAAAATACTATTTTCAAAGATGAGGATTTACCTACAAGGTTTGTTAGTGATGAAAGTCAGCAAATATTCTCAGTTTCGCCCAAGGATACACATTCAAATTCTCCGAGAATTTCATCCCCTACTGAAGAACTTCGAAATTCAGCCTCTGAAATATCAAATTCAAGCCTTTTGGAATCTTCTTCCACCACTTCTATTGACTCTCAAGATTATTACAAGGTGAAAGTCAGATGTCGATGCAACCAGAAAGATGTCTGGGGCTGCAAGATTCGGTGTGCGAACTGTCGTTTCTTTGTTCACGCCCAGTGTTTCAACCTGGAATGGGAGGATGTTCCTGAGACCTACTACTGCTATCTCTGCAGCTTCTAGTGCGACGTCATATTTGTAAATATGTATATTTATCTTTATATTTGCATAATATGATGCATTAGCGCGCCATCTGTTATGAAAATTCAAAACTATTATAGACGCGTATGATTCTTTTTTAAAATTATATATATAACCGTGGAAATATTAGCTCTGTATTATCATCATAAAAATAAATATGTAATTATTAAATTTTGAGTGTCCTATAATTCACGCTTTAATATGTAGGTATTATATATAGAGTACATATTTAATTCAACACTCCAAAGATTCCGAATTATCGGTTGAATTAAAGTCGGATAAATGATATGAATAACTTCATTAGGATTTGTAAAAAAAAAGGTTACGTGTTGATTTATAGAGGTTACACTATGTGCGTTTTATTCGCGATTTGATTGGCTATTCGCTGTCAGGTGACCTTATTCAACCAATTATCGTGCAGTGCATCTTTAGATGCTACATCGAATACAGTAGAACCTCCCATTAGCGGACACCTCTCCACAAATGACAATTTTCATTTGCAAAATTACCAATCTCTCCTGTAAGAGGACACCTCTCCCTAAAGGATACTTTGGCTCTGCAATTAAGTGTCCTTT